CACAGAAATCTCCCCAAAAAATGACCAGAAACTCACTCAAATCTCCCAAAAAATGACCCAAAACTCACACAAATCTCCCCAAAAAATGACCAGAAACTCACCCAAATCTTCCCCAAAAAATGATCACAAACTCACAGAAATCTCCCCAAAAATACACCAAAAACTCACACAAATCCCCCCAAAATTATGACCAGAAACTCACTCAAATCTCCCCAAATAATACACCCAAAACTCACACAAATCTCCCACCAAAAATGACCAGAAACTCACCCAAATCTCCCCCCAAAAATGATCACAAATTCACCTAAATCTCCCACCAAAAATGACCACAAACTCACCGAAATCTCCCCAAAAAATGACCACAAACTCACCCAAATACCGCCAAAAAAAGGTCAAAACTCACACAAATCTCCCCCCCAAATACACCCAAAACTCACCCAAATATCCCCAAAAATGACCACAAAATCACCCAAATCAACCCAAAAATAGTTCAAAGCTCACCCAAATCTCCCCAAAAAATGACCAGAAACTCACACAAATTTCCACAAAATATGACCAGAAACACACTCAAATCTCCCCAAAATATGACCAAAAACTCACCCAAATCTTCCTCAAAAATGACCAGAAACTCACCCAAATCTCCACAAAAATGACCACAAACTCACCCAAATCTCCCCAGAAAATGACCCAAAACTCACCCAAGTCTCCCCAAAAAAGTGACCTCAAAGTCACTCAAATCTCCTCAGAAAATGACCCAAAACTCACACAAATCTCCCCCAAAAATGACCACAAACTCACCCAAATCTCCCCTTAAAATGACCACAAAGTCACCCAAATCTCCCCAAACAATGACCAGAAACTCACCCAAATCTCCCCAAAAAATGACCACAAACTCACCTACATCTCCCTAAAGAAATGACCAGAAACTCACCCAAATCTCTCCAAAAAATGACCCAAAACTCACCCAAATCTCTCCAAAAAATGACCCAAAACTCACACAAATCTCCCCAAGAAAGTGACCTCAAAGTCCCTCAAATCTCCCCGGAAAGTGACCCAAAACTCACCCAAATCTCCCTTAAAAAATGACCAGAAACTCACACAAATCTCCCCAAACAATGACCAGAAACTCACCCAAATCTCCCCCAAAAATGACCACAAACTCACCCAAATATCCCCTAAAAATCACACAAAACTCAAACAAATCTCCCCAAAAAATGACCAGAAACTCACCTACATCTCCCCAAAGAAATTACCAGAAACTCACCTACATCTCCCCAAAAAATGACCAGAAACTCACCCAGATCTCCTCAAAAAGTGACCTCAAAGTCCCTCAAATCTCCCCAAAAAAGACCCAAAACTCACACAAATCTCCCCAAAAAATGACCAGAAAATCACCCAAATCTCCCCCAAAAATGACCACAAACTCACAGAAATCTCCCCAAAATAGGACCACAAACTCATACAAATCTCCCCAAGAAACCACCAGAAACTCACCCAAATCTCCCCAAAAAATGACCCAAAACTCACTCAAATCTCCCTAAAGAATACACAAAAATCTCAAGGAAATCTCCCCCAAAAATGACCCAAAACTCACACAAATCTCCCCAAAAAATGACCAGAAACTCACACAAATATCCCCAAAAGATGACTCAAAACTCACTCAAATCTCCCCAAAAAATGACCAGAAAATCACCCAAATCTCCCTAAAAAATGACCAGAAACTCACCCAAATCTCCCCAAAAAATGACCCAAAACTCACCCAAATCTCCCCAAAAAATGACCCAAAACTAACTAAAATCTCCCCAAACAATGACCAGAAATTCACCCAAATCTCCCCCAGCTTTAAAATGCCTTTTCAAATTTATGGTTAAAAATGACTTTAAACTTCCTTTCTGTCTCACCACTAAAGAATGGGATTTACTACGCAGACAGATTTGGATGGCTGTAAATTCCAACGATAAAGCAGCAGTACATGCCAACATAGCTTGGAATCACTTATTAGCAATACTTGAAATGCAACAAAAAGATTCCGACCCCCAACGAGAAAGCAGCACAGCTTCCCTCCGGGGTCTAGGAGAGAGGGAGCGACCGAAGTCGCCGTGGGAAACGGGGGAGGAGAGAGAGGGACATCCCTTCCGGCAGCCGCGGGCAGGGCACCCCTTCGACCCCCCCCACCGTGGTCGGCGCATGGCGGTCCCTGATACGGTTGTGGTTGTGGAACTGGCTCGCCCCAGTCCCCTGTTAGGGTCGGACACGGGGTGGCAACCCCCATCCCGGGTAGCACCGAGGCGGCCCCGGCCCCGTCCCGGGCTCCTCCCTCTCGACTGCCGGTGCAGCGAGGGGAGGAGGAGCCGCCCGCGGCCAGCACGGGCGGGAGCCCTCCCCGCCCCCCACCCCCTCTCCCTCCCAGAACAGGTGATCCCATCCCGCCGTTCCCGAACCCAGACCCTCCTCAAACGACTAGCAACACCGCTCCAGGCACCAGCCCAGTGACAGAAAACTTTATTCCACCGCCCCTGACACGGAATAGCTGCCACAGGCACTCATCGGGGCAAAATTGTGCCGACGAAAATCCAGCCGTTTGTGTAGCCCCGACCCCAGCCCCTTCCGCCTGGCAGCTCTCAACAGGAGATCACCAACTGCAGTTTCCTCAGGCAGTTTCACAGCCGCAGCCCCCAGCCGCCACCACCGCATGGTCAAACAAAGGAAGCAGGGAATTCCCGACTTCTAACGACTCCGGAGCTTCCACCTTCCCTACGGATGCCGAGTGGGACAAGATGACGTCATCGGGACCACTTCCCTGTCTGTGCCCGAGACCGGAGATGGGACAACCTCTGCCCTGCAGTTCCAAGTGTCCCCCGCTTCTTGCTACATCCTGCCACGACATGCAAGAAAACCCACAGCTTCAGAACACCTTCACGACGGATCATCACAGACTCAGCCAGTTAACGGACAGCATTCCCTCCATCTCTCACAGTGTGCAACTAGCTGTGACTGACTCAGCAGCACCAGACTCATTAAACAGTTTTCCAGCTACAAACCAGACACAATCCTTAACAACATTTAACAAATTTTCTCCTAATAATCCATTTTCAAATATGTCAAATAATTTTAACAATTCTGTTTCTCCTTCTAACCCTTTTCTTTCTTCCACAGGAACCAACCATACCAATAATTGTAATGATATAAATAATATTGCTAGTAATGTTAATGGTCATTTTTTGAGGAGATTTCCTTGAGTTTTTGGTGTATTATTTAAGGGAGATTTGAGAGAGTTTTGGGTCATTTTATGGTGAGATTTGGGTGAGTTTCTGGTCAATTTTTGGGGAGATTTGTGTGAGTTTGTTGTCATTTTTTGGGGGAGATTTGGGTGAGGTTTTGGCCATTTTTGGGGAGATTTGTGTGAGTTAGTAGCCATTTTTTGAGATTTGGGTGAGTTTCTGGTCATTTTTTGGGGAGATTTGGGTGCGTTTCTGGTCGTATTTTGGGGAGATTTGGGTGAGTTTCTGGTCATTTTTGGGGAGATTCAGGTGAGATGGTGGTCATTTTTTGGGGAGGATTTTGGTGAGTATCTGATCAGTTTTTTGGGGAGATTTCTGGGAGTTTTGGGTCATATTTTGGAGAGATTTGTGTGAGTTTCTTGTCATTTTTGTGGAGATTTGTTTAAGTTTCTGGTCATTTTTTGGGGACATTTAGGTAAGTTTGAGGGCAATTTTTTTGGGAGATTTGTTTCCGTTTCTGGTCATATTTTGGAGGGATTTGGGTGAGTTTGTGGTCATATTTTGGGGAGATTTCAGTGTGTTTCTGGTCATATTTTGGGGAGATTTGGGTGAGTTTCTGGTCATAATTTGTGGAGATTTCTGTGAGTTTGTGGTCATTTTTTGGGGAAGATTTGGGTGAGTTTGTGGTCATTTTTTGGGGAGATTTGTTTCAGTCTGTCACTTTCTGTTTACAGTCCTGCATCCCAACTGCCGACCCGACTTCGAAATTTACCTACGGACGAAGATTCCTCCCACAGCAATGATGCCAGCATGGAAACTCTTTCTCTCCATTGAGTCTTCAGACTGACAAACAAACTGCACCACAAAGTCAAAGCTCACAGGCTTTCTTTCCTGGGGATAAGGGCTGTTGTTTCCTCTTTTCAGATATGCCTCCCAACTGACAGCCCGACTTGTAAAATTGCGTACAATAAAGATTCCTCCCACACCAAAGGTGCCAGCACAGAAAGCTCTGGCTCCCCATGGAGTCTCCAGGCTGACAAACCAACTGCACCACAAAGCCAAAGCGTCCAGATTTCTCTTTTGCTCGCAGGGGGAGACTCCTGAATTTTCCTTCAGGGCACATGCTTTTGAGAATGGTCGATGGGCACGCGAAGCATAACATCCCTCTGGGCTCAGAAGCCTGGGTCAGCTTCTCCTGACCTGTTCTGGGAGCATCCCTACTGGCAGCAGGAGCACTTCTGCTGGGGACAAAGACCACTTGGGCTTTTGTCAGGGGCTGTGGCGAGGCAGTGCATGGGAGAAGCACCTTCCCCAGAGAAAGCTTGGACGTGGCATGGCATCTCCCACCTGCTTTGAACTGCATGGAGATGCAACCTCTGTGAGAAGAGCTCTGCTGTGTCCCTCCTCCTGCTCCTCTTGCTCAGAGGAGCGGGGAACAGCCTGTCACACCTGAACTGGATGTGCTGGAACCAGCACGTCTGCAGCAGGTTGAGGGGCACTCAGATGCAGGACTTCATGGAATTAAAGAAACCCTGGGATATCTTTGGAACTTCATGGAATCAAAGA